ATCGTGCTGGTTGCATGATAATATTTTTTCAACGGTATAAAGTCGCGTATTTTTTTTTGTCTTTAAAACAGAATAAATTGAAACTCGCGCTATCTCTCCAGAACCCATCTCAAAACTATTAATATTTTGGCTCAAACTAAGTCATATTCTGATAGAATATGAAATTTTTATATGAGCAAATAATTTAGTTCTATTTAGGCTTGTATTAATATTTTTCAACGGTATAAAATTCGCGTATTTTTTTGTCTTTCAAAACCGGAATATTAAAACTATCGCTATCTCTCCCGGGCTCTCCCTCAAAACTATTAATATTTTAGCTCAAACTAGGACATATTCTGATAGAATATGAAATTTTGCATATGACAAATATAATTTAGATTCTATTAGACTGGTATTAATATTTTTTTCAACGGTATAAAGTCGCGTATTTTTTTTTGTCTTTAAAACAAAATGAGTGAAACTATCGCTATCTCTCCCGGGCTCTCTCTCAAAACTATTAATATTTTAGCTCAAACTAGGACATATTCTGATAGAATATGAAATTCTGCATACGACAAATATAATTTAGATTCTATTAGACTTTTATTAATATTTTTTTCAACGGTATAAAGACGCGTAATGTTTTTTATCTTTGAAACAAAATTAAGGGAACTACAGCTGTCCTCCCGGGCTCTCCCTCAAAACTATTAATATTTTAGCTCAAACTAGGACATATTCTGATAGAGTATGAAATTCTGCATACGACAAATATAATTTAGATTCTATTAAAATTTTATTAATATTTTTTTTCAACGATACAAAACTAGTACTGATTTTTCAGTTTGAAGACAAAATCTAACAACTATCGCTGTCTCTCCCTCAAAACTATTAAAATTTAAGCTTAAAATAAGACATAATCTTAAAGAATATGAAATTCTGCATACGATAAGTATAGTTTCAGTTATTTGAGAACTTTAATAATAGTTTTTTAATGGTAAATATAGAAACTGGTACAGTCTAGCCAAATATATGAAAAGATTTTTCAAAATTCAGATTCTTTCTGTCTATATAAATATTTTTTGGCAAATAACAACACATCTATATATCAAAAAAACATAATTTTATTTAACTACACACTAAAGTAAATCAATATAACCGCATATTTTATTGCAAACTACGTGAAAAAGATCATATTTAATAAAGACAATATAAAATAGTGAAAGATACCACAATACGTCTGCAAAGATCGACAATACGTACAGCCTAAAAAAGAAAATAAAAATTATTTTAGATGATTTATATGAGTTATATTTACAGTACCTTCTCATATGTGCCTTAGCTTTAGGTATATTCGAATTGTCTTCTTTAAGTAAGTACTCCTTACTTCCCAGCAAGGCGTTTTTGAAGTACTCGTAGGGATCTGCGTCACGATGAAAATTAAAAACTTTTCGATCTTCGGGCGTTAAATTTTCCTCAAGCGAAATAGATTTATCATTTTTGAAACTCCACTCTTGCGATGTGAAGTAATGCAACGCCACGTTAGCTATATAGATTTTTCTTTGGATTCTCAATAGCCTAACAGTACGAAAAAATTAAGATTTAATTAAAATCTAGGCGAAATTTTGAAATTTAAGATAATTTTAAGAATATGGCGAATGCGCTAGGGGAAATATGCATTGGATATTTTTCCCAGCGCATTCGCCATATATTGTAACTGATAAAAAATAAGATTTTTTTTTAAATAAATGATTTAAAATATTTAATTAACTTTGTTTAAATAATTAAACATATTTATGTCATTCTGATCAATATATTGTCTTACTTACATCGGTTTATGACCAATTATCCATAATAATGTGTCCACTAAAAGAGCTGGTAAAATATGGTACAACATTACTCTAAAATAATAGTTCCAGAAACAGGAAGTAGGTTTTCCGGATGGATACCACAAAACGTCGTTGAGTGGATATTCCCAAGTTAGTTTTTTACCTAGAAAAATCGAAAGCAAGGTAGTAATATACCGAGTGATTGAAAATAGAAAAATAATATATAAAATGACTTGTTACTGACCCATTTCAAGCATTTCAGTCAACGTAAGATTGTTAACGTCATTGTTGCTTCCATTATAGACTGATATCTTTAATTTTTCCTCATGCCTAAAATATAAACACTTATAATTAATAATATAAAAAGAATAAAAGTATGAAAAAATAAAAAATTCTAATTTTTGTACCAAAAGAAAACCATTCATATTAAAAAAATGTACTTATTGACTATACCTCGTGAGTTTGTTTGGTCGATACTATATCTCGGTTGTGTACTGTGATCACAATTTCTATTTTTAAGTTTAAAAAACACACAATAAAAATATGGTGAGTAAAAAATCTTCGTTTTCTACTAAATACAATGATTTAGAGAAAAATCTAAATATTTTGGACACTATATATGTATTGGATATTATCAATGTTGATAGAGGCCATTATTTTGGCTTCCTTTATACCATATACATAAATATATATTTTTTGAACTTGCTATCTAATTTTTTTATTATTTAGTACAATTTTTCAGTACATTTTCGAGACGTACAACCCTAGCTCTCGTGTTCTGGTCTTTATTGGCCTCCAATAGTCATCTTAAAGTGAAATTGACTGCATATAAATGCGAGTATTTATTTTTTAAGAACATTTTTTTAACAAATTGTTGCAATATATCTGAGAATATACTCACGATTCAAATGATTTTTTCCATACGCCAGCAATAAGGCCTTTAGTTATTATATCAACCGGTACATAATCCGCTGTGATATGCCCACTAGCATAGGCTGTTTTCAAAATTCCTAAAAACAAAAAAAAATGTTTTAAAATAAGGTTTTTTAAGAGCTTCAAAATTTCTTTACTATATAACCAAAGACATTATAAAGAAATCTATGTATATAACATATAGTTTTTTTGTGTAAGTGTTAGTAGTCTTCCTTTATTTAAGAGTAGATTTTTTAGTGTACAGGGTGTCCCATTTTCGTGTGTTTACAGGGCTTTCTGTGTTGCATCTTCAGTTTCAAGAGAGTTTTTTTTACGATAAACCCTGTAAAACTCACGAAAATTGGACACCCTGTACATTTTCCAGACAAAGTATAGTAAATTTACCTTTTCCACTGGCTACTAAAATACCTACAGGGCCGTTAAAATTATCTATCCATCCTGGTATTGGTTCATCATAAGATGATATCACTAAAATTTGAAGAAATAAAAAAAACTGTGTGATTAATAAATGAAGGATTTTGATCTCATAAAATTACTATTTCTTCATGGTTTCTCTGTATGTTTTATACAGGATGTGTCGTAAATAACAGTACAGTTTAAATAAAAAAAATAATTAAAAAGATTTGTGAAAATTGATTTTTGCAAACTTTTTGTACTTATGTAAAAAACAACCTGTATGTGAAAATACATATATGCATTTTAAACATATTACATTTTTAATCTATCTGATATTATTAAGAAATATTTATTTACCTATAGAGGGACGAAAAATAGTTGTGGGTATTTTACCATCACATAGGTCAGTTACAACTTGTTCTGCCAAATTTTTTGCAAACGTGTAGGTATTAGGGAATGGTTCAATATATTTTGCAGTTAAAACATCAATCGTATGTGAGTCTGCATTTTCAGCTATTTTTATAGCTTCCCTCCAGTCAGCTACAGCAGGGTAAACTTTTTCTTCAACCACCTGGTATAATTTTTAAAAAATATCATCAACACTATTCAATTTTAAAATAAAGTTAAACGCATAATACCTTCTTATCTGTATGACAGTAAGTAGTAGAAACGTGTACTAAATTTTCGATATTTTTTATCTCCTTAGCTAAAAGGGCAACTTCTTTGGTTCCTCGGGTATTGAGTAAGATAGATTTTTGAAGAGAATCATCAAATCGTACTGAAGCAGCACAATGAATCACTAAATTTACCTCCCCAATAAGTAGTTTTCTTGATTCGTTACTTAACCCTATAATAATATGAAATAAATTCAATTTTTGATTAAATATATTGATTTTTATCTTACCCAAATCTATTTCATTTGTATCTCCATCGACTGGAACAACTTTCTTTACATTTTCCGGATACTCCTTTTTTAATCTGTCAAATAACTATAAAAATCAACAAAAAAAAAACTAAAAAAGTTATTAATAAAAACACACTGGATTACTTACAGGAAGATCAAACATTTCTTTAAGTCTTTGTTCTGGAGATTTATCTTTTTTTGATCTTATTAAAAGGTAAATCTTCGAAATATCCGGAGAAAATCTTAGGAAATTTTCTACCAGTACTTTTCCGATAAACCCAGTACCTCCAGTTATGAACAGCTTTTTTCCAGAGTAGTACTGAGGAATGGTATACTTCGGACATTCCAGATTTGACATGTTGGTATTTATCAATAATTAATTATTGATGCTATTGAAAATAAATTAAGAAGATTGTTATTATATATTGCCAAATTTGAGGGGATAATTTCTCATAAAAAAAAATGACGCCCTTGATTTTCCTTGATATTTTTTTTAAATCAGCCAACTAAAAATAAATTTTTTCGTCTCTTGTACTATACATATACAGGGTATTCCTTAATGATATGCTAATATTGAAGGAGGTGATTCTTGGACCTATTCTAAGAAATAAACTTTTTAAGGAAGCAATAATATTTTTCAGTAAAGTTTATTTTTTTGCCTTTAAACTCAGCACAAGAATTAATTCTGAAAAGTAATGTACAGGGTCTTAATAATCAATTCTCTTGTAGCATGCATATTTAAATATCTTTAAATATCTCAAAAACCAATGATTTTAAACATATTTAACCCTTATAATAAATGTCTTTTTTTGAGCCCAAGAATCCAAAAATGAAATAAAATACCGGGTGTTCCATAAGAAAAACTATAACTTTGGTATGGATCTTAGTTCTGAGACGCCCTGTATATTTCAAAATAATTTTAAATTGTGCACATTGACTCCCCACATATACCCATAAAATATTTTGTTTCTACATCTTTCCGTTTTCGTATAATCAACCGAGGCGAATGAGGTGCGCCACCCTGTATAGAAATATTAGCATGTCATCATTAAGGAACACCCTGTATATACGTATCTAGAACTGTTTTCGAGAAAAAAATATATTGGTATTAGTTACCATTGGAAGGCCTCTAGACAGTATTAAATTATACATTTTATAATATATAATTTAATAAGTATTAAAACACTTTAAAATTTTTTATTTCAATTAGCTAGAGTAACTAGAGTAAAAAGTTTTAAAATACTCGAACCTCGAACACACAGCAAATTTACAATAATTACAGCAAATCCAAAAAAAATAGTGTTATTTAAGAAAATACAAAACATTATTTCTTTAAATTTTGATCGTCCTGTATCTTTAAAACTACGCACTGATTTGTTTTTCTTTTCCCACACTTTTTATTTATAATTTTCTCAGTAAAAAACAGTATACTTTTAATTTAAAATAACAGAAAGTATATACTTGATACAACAATATCCCCAATATAGTAATATAAAAACTTACATATTGTACTTAATAATAATTTAGAGTTCACCTTATGATCTTTTACCGTATACTGAATAAAACTGCGTACAAATTATAATTATATTCACATTAATTAGAATACAATACTTCTAAAATACCACCAAAGCACAGCAAATGTTAGTTAAAATGTCCAAAGAAGCTAGTGAAATTTGCACATAAAAGGATAAAAAATGCTGCAAAACTTAATTTAAAGGAAAAAATAATTACTTTATGTTTACTAAAATATTTGTTATAGCGTGTACCAGCGACTTCGTTTGCGTCGAATTAATGATTTGTAATGGTGATGATAAAGCAAAGCAAGAATTTCCATTAACATACAAACTGGATAAAATTTTCTCACATTTATGTCAGCATGAGAAAAAACAATATGGCGATATTATTATATAACTTGGTAATATTTGAGGGGTAGTTTCATCTCGTTGGAATTTGACTTTCGAAAAATCCGTTTGC